ACAAGGTTTTCTCCCTGGCGGCGGCGGGCAGCCTGTTTTTCCTATGCCTAGGAGTTGCCGGACATTTGACCAAGGGTTTCCCGTCCCGGTTCGGTGCCGAAGTGAACCAGTTGCAGTCGATCAACATGGACATGTTCGGACGCCAAGTCAATCCCTGCTGGAATCGCTTCAGTGACGACCCGCATATCAGGGCGGCTTGCCACATAGGCATGGCGGATAAGCCAGCTGAATTTGTTTTGCTTGGTGACAGTCACGCCGGCGCATTGCTTCGTGAAATTGATGACGCAGCTAAAACCATTGGAGTGGCTGGTCTCAGTTACACCTTCCGGTCATGTCCTCCAGTAAAAGGGATCGAACTTGTCAAATCCGGGGCGCTTGATCAAATTTGTTCAGGTATTCGCAAAAGCTTTTTTGAGAACCTCGCAGTCGACAATGTGGTGCCACATACGCTGGTCGTTGCCGCTCGATGGTCGTTGTTGCTGAGCGGCAAGTGGTTTGACAATGGGGAGGGAGGTGTCGAGGAGGGCGAAGACTGGCTCTGGGACGTTGATGCGCGAGGCGGCAATTATCCTGAAAAAATGAAAAGCGTCATGCTTGATTCAATTGAAATCATGCTTCGCAGTGGGCGCCGCGTTATCTTGGTATACCCAGTGCCAGAAATGGGCTGGCAAGTGCCTTTTCAATTGGCCAAGTCCTATGCCATCGCCAACGGATTGTCGCCTGAAAGTGGTTCCACCTCTTACCGCCGGTATTTGGAGCGTAATCGGATGGCTATCGAGGCTCTAGACGGCTTGGGGGAGCGCTCCAATTTGATAAGGATTCGGCCAGACAGGGTGCTTTGTGACTCTTTTGTGAAGGACCGTTGCGTAGCCCATCTGGAAGATCATCCACTGTATTTCGATGATGACCATTTGTCCAACGCTGGCGCAAGGATGGTGGTTGCCGAGATCGTGAAGGTAATGGCCCATTGAAGTTCGGCAGCGGTCTTTCTTGCCGTGATGATGCTGGTGTGAAAAATAGCATGATGGAAAATTTGACCGTGATCAAGGTCAAAAGCAGCGCCGCAGACAGTGGTACCGAACTTGTTGTAGACATGGCTGAACTCTTCGAATGTTGTAAAGCTTTTTTCTGCTGCGGCAGGGCTTGTT